GAGAGAATGAATTATGGCTGTTCTCACCAAGTGGACATCTGTGTCTTCTCAGGCTGCTGCTCTTTTAGCAGAATCAAAGACTGACATTATTCTCTCTTACATATTGCACATGCATTGCAACTTCATACTGCACATTCTTTGTTGAATTAAGATAATTAACAGACTTCATGACGCGGTGGCAACTCATGCCCTTTGACTTTCCTAATCTATGCACTAGTTGCAAGTGTCCTACTATTTTTATGGTAACAATTAAGTGATCTGTATCTCCTTTAGGCTTCTGAAAAACAACAATTTAACGCCTATGACCACACCACATAGAACATTTAGGAATTAATGTGTTCAGTAAAGAGCATAGGTACTTCAGAATTTATTCTGAAGTTGTCATCCCAATATTCTCCTCATATTTAATACTTTAATGAAAAAGTAATCACATATAAATATAAATATTAATATTTATACACATATAAATGATAACTTCAGTTATGAACAGGCCAAATACATGTTTTAATTTCATTTACAGAATTACAGAACCATAACAAAGTTTCTGTTGTTGTACACATGGCTAGAGGCATCATCATACCACTACATCTAACTACCTAACAGATTATCTGCTTGTTGGAGTTACATCTGATAGCTATCAGTTCTCCTTCTGCAGACTTAAAACGGGTTCCAACTGCCTAATAATTTGAGAAAAGAAAGCAAGAAAACACCTTGTTGCTCAATCATACTTATTTTAAGATTGCAATCAAAGCCAGCAATCAGAACTGGACTGAAGCTTGACTGACAGCCAACAGAGAAAGAGTGACATTACAGAATATCTAATTATGTCCTGCGTATTCTGAAGAAATCTGCCTTAGTTTCATTGTCAGTTGACATTACAATGTTTTGCGGAAGGCTGTGGAAACTGCAGTGAATCCAGACAAATTTAACACAGACTAACAGAGGCAATTTTAAAAGAATAGTAGGTAACAAAATGTCACCAGCATTGTACATTTTCTTTGTGCAAGGAAAAGATCAGATATTCCCAAATGTCACTTGACTGTGTGGTTACCGTAAGAGTCATGCAGCAAGATGTCCCTATACACACACAGACACACACAGCTGCAGAACCTGCCACAAACTGGTAACTTTCAATTATGTGGGTGGCATTTTCTGTTCTCCCCCATCTCCTCCCACACAAAGATAAACAGCAGAATTTGCTGCCCCTCTCAGCCTCTTGAGGGAGCAATGATAAGTTTGCTAGGTTTGCAGGAGATCAGTATAATGTCTTTCTTGAACTTAAAAGCTGATAGCAGAGAAGACTCTGGACAAGTGAAAGTCTGCAAAAATTAAGGGATAATTGTGATTAATGACTCCAAGGGATGTAGTTTGTGAAGAAACATGAGATTAGATGTTACCTCCTCAAACTTCACAGTTAACAGGGTTACTGAAACAGAGGGGGCACTTCGCAATTTTCTGAGCTACTGTTTTCAGAAACAGAGGCAGTACTCAACTTATTCACAATCCATAAGTCTAATTTTCAATGCTCTCTTCACAACCATACCTTTCACTATTTGTCTATTGGCCTTACCTCTCAGACACCAGTTAATTTGCATGTTTGTCTCAGGCAATCTGAAGACACTGTGTTAAAATTCACTTAACATTGATAGCCTTATTTCTGTTGATACTCACAATAACTAAAAGCAAGGGAAGATTCTGGGATAAACCTTTAACAGACCTAATTTGTGTCTGCACTCCAAAAACAAACCTGAAACACTTACTAGTTTTGGATTACATGTAAGCAATCCCCCTCTTTTTTTTTTTTTTTTTTTTTTACATTCCCATTCCACTCCAGTATCATCCCAGAGAAACAGGAACTATCTGCTTGCACTCACAAACAGAACAAGATAAACACCACAGTTACTGTGACTGCAAGAGTGGGGACATGAGGGAAAGAAAGGGCAAAATCCAGCTATGGCTGTTATGGAGCAGGGATACAAGCCTGTGATACTACCTAAAGACAGTCAATGCCTTCAATTTGTTAAAGAGAAGATTATACCTAAGCAGTCCATGCAGGCTAGTGTCACCAGCCAGCCTGTGTGTGGTCCTCCTCCCCTCCTCCCAAGAAGTACAGCCATAGACTGACAGCGTCTATTCCCAGGTAAACGGAATAAATTTTTTTTGCAGCAGGCAATCTCTGTTCAATCTCCTGCTACAAAAATACCCAAAGAGCAAAGCTTCCAAGAGAGCTCATTTAGATCAGCCCAGAGATCACCTGATGGACACTGACTTCGATCATTCAGGGACTCCTCTGCTGTGTGAACCACTGCAGGACTAAGCTTCAGCACTGGATCACAGATCTGGAAAGAGACCTAGAGCACCGGACCACTTTCCATCTTCAAGAGACCAGAGCATAGAGCGCCCTTGCTCTGTTTACTGTCAGAAATCCACCCTTGTGCAACTGAAGACTCCGTCAGCGTCTCTCTGCCTTGTCCGTTACAGCTCTTTTCCATCCATCAAAATAAAGTGCACTTGAGGCTGATCAGTCAAAAAAAGCATGCTTTTGACACAGATCAGCCACAAGATTCTCACTCATTGCTAGACAGACTTTCGTACACCACTTTTGGTAAGTGAAGAAGAGAAGTCAAAAAGATAGAAGTAACGCCAAGCAAATCTGTCCAATGGTGCTCAGCATCCAGGCAGGCAGACAAGAAGTGTTCCAGGCTTGTGACAGACGGAGTAGCCCAGAGGAGCACCACGGTGATACTGCAATAGAGGCCAACCTGGACAAGTTCAAAGAGGACAACCTTTAGCAATGCACCAGAAGAGCTTTAAGGTTGGGACTGGGGTGGGAGGGTGGCACACAACCAAAACCAAACCATATCCAACACAACCAAAACCAAACCATATCCAAACAACTCTGTCCCCAAATCCACTGTTTTTAAATATTAAAAAAAAAAAAAAAAAAAACACACACAACAACACACAAAAAACCACACAACAAAACAAAAAACCCAACGTTTAACAACATCAGGATTAAATAAGCCAAGTGGTGCATGCAAGAAGAGAAAAAGCACCAGGAAGTTTGTGTCACTGAAGTTCATGCCAGGATTTGTTAAGGGAAAACTCAAATGACAAACTGACTCAAGTGTGGAATTGAAAAAAAAAAACAAAACCAAAAACACCCCCACCCCATTCAACTCTCACGCCCAAGAACAGGAATTTGTCAAGCAACATAGGCTGGCACCACTACAATTGGCAGGACATTGGTATTTGGTCATTCCGACACGTCAAGTTACAAAAACCACCACACCGGATGCTGCAATATGAAGTGTCGGAATGATGGAACTATAAGCTCTCTGCCAAAAATAAAATAAAATAAAATGATAAACCTATTTTCAGACCAGGAGATACTCTGAGTTTACAGAACAGGTTCACCAGCCAAAAAAACATGGCAAGATGACAAAAAACAAGGCAGCAGTGCAAGCATTCTTCTACATGATGCGAATTATGATGGATTATATTCAAAACAGGAGGAAGCTGGATGCTCAAGCCAATATGCTATGATGAAAATTAAACTGAAAATACAAACTTGGCATGACCAGCGTTATTTATGGAAGTAATACAAAACATTTGCAATAACCATTCAGTAACCCTGGGGCATCACTTCCTCTGTCCACCTACTAGCATCCATTATGTTCCTAGTTTATTACACAGCTACATTTCACTTGGCAGGAAGAAGAAAAAGGACAATGTAAGAAGGTGCTTTAATAGAGTGTAAATCAAGGAAGTAATTCTAAGTAAGTTTTCCGAGCTTGAAGCTACATTATGGTATCACATTAACCTACATACCAAGTTAAAACAAAGCTTGCATTAATATTTGTTTAAAAGCATATGCTCGTCCACTCTTGTTTTTAAGAGCACCTTAATCAACAGTTTTAAAATGACAGTCTCTTCATGCAAGGTACTTCATTTCCCTAACTTCTCTGATTCACAGAAATAAAGTCACAGTAACAAAAGAATGAGACAACAAAGCACAGTGACAAGAAAAGAAAGGAACCATTTAAATATGTGGACAAACAGTTATTCTTGGGGATTTAGACACTTAACTGATCAAGCCTAACTTGCCAGAAAAAAAATACCCTTCTTTCTCAAACAGAGGGTGGAAGAAAGGCCATTTTAGGAATGTTTCCATTTCACTGCTGAATGGCCACCTAAACTACACCGTCCTCCTTTCCATTCTCTCCAGTCAAGTTGACTAGCGGCAGAAGAGAGGAAGAGAAGCCAGGTGGTAGGAGGACACGAGATCCCAGTTCAGCAGCAGACCCAGACATACCTTACTGCCTAGGGGAGATGCAGCTTATACTTTGTCATGACAAAGCTTCTGCTTCACACAGAGTAGCTCAGAGGAAAACCGGAAGGAGAGGTCAAAACAAAACACTCTCAGCTGATCTCAAGATCACTGCTGTCAAAAGAGGTATTTTCTTCTCCATCCAAGACATTCATTCCTTCTTGTGGCCAAGTACTCCCAGCAGACTGAAACTTGTCAAAGCCCTCAGTAGCAATTCAAGTGACTAACTTGGCAGAAAACAAATTTGGACAAGCAAGTTGCCGTAGCTCACTGTGTGGTCAGACGAAACCAGAACATAGGACACAACTGAGGTTAGGAACAGGAATTACACTTTCAGTGAGTTTCAACACTAGAAAATTGTTAGGACAATTCATATGTGATAGGGTCACCTTCTTTGCACCCCAGAGTGCTGAGGTATAAGCTGAAATATACCCAGCTACCACGTCAACCTAACCTAACCTATGGAAGGAGGACAGGTGTCTTCATCGCCTTCTTTGTGCTTCTTGCTTCCTATATGGTACAGTACAGGCGTTGAGACTAATTTTTTTTTAGTCGGATTGTTCTTTCTGCCTATCCTACATGCGTCTCCCAGCACATTCTGACAACCACCATTGTTCAGGACAAGAATACCAAGTACAAACGTTATCACACAGGGTTCTTCAGAGTCGCTTTCCCCCTCCTCCACTGTTCCGTCACAACATAAGCTCCCTTTACTCTTTCTCATACTCTCTTAAGGAAAGACTTAAAATTCACGCTTCTAAAACAAAAAACACCACTTTCTCTACCACGTCCCCACTGGTATGCAATTGCATAATGGAAATTCATAAATTGTTTACAAACTATGTCAGAATTCCTACCGCTGCAATTGAGCCAAACATCTGTTGCTGTATTGCTGTAGCAACTATCCTTGAAGTGAGAGGAACATGAAAAACACACCCAAAAAAATCAAAATCAACACCCCCTCCCCAATTATCTCAAACATCAACATACACAACAAGTAAAATAATAATAACAAAAAAATAGCTGCTTGTTAGAATTTTACAGTATCCGGTATGCAGAGTACTTACTTTGTGCATTCTTCTAAAGACTGTACAAGCATTTGCTGGAAAGAACTTATTTCTTCCAGGTTTCCCATTAAGTATGAAGTATTGGTCGAGTTTAACCTGGAGCCAAGGTAAATAAAAGGCATTTAGGTTTGCAGTTATTGACTAGTTGTGCTTTAATAAAACCTACAACCTTAAAAGAAAATGCTTACTGGTTCTTAGATCAAGGACCATACTGTCTTAGTCAGCAAGCAAACTGGATAAAAGCAAGCCCTGCCTCGAGGATCTCACAATCCACACAAGAAAATGCGCATTAACATTGAAGTTGAAGTTTTGGCCACATAAACCCTCCCCAATGCACAAGAGATCTTAAGCTTAATTTTAAAACACCAAAACAAACTCACATACTTTTCACTGGCTTGTAACGGTCGCAGGTAGTTTGAAAGCATTGTTTGTAGCTCCTTAGCATATTCATTTTCTGTTTCTAATATATTTTGTAGCACCTACAATAAATGACAGTTGCTAATTGATATTTTTAAGAGATACTTCAAAATTCTCAAATTTCAGAACATACTAAAATATACTCAGCACTGGGAAAATGTAAATGAAAATTTCTACATTAAAAAAATTAAATACCAGCAAGAAAGGATTACATACTCTATGTAATGAAATTCACAGAGAAAAACCAAAAAACCACTACATACATGATAAGCCATCAAAGCCATAAACTCACCACAAAAAAAAAGTGGTAAGTTAACTGGAATTTCACTGCACTTGAACTTTTACCATAAAATTTGAGAGCTATACAGAGTGTTCTTCCAAAGCTAGGGGTAACTATTCCTCCTATGTACTTTAAAACAGTCAAAGATGATCAGAGGTTGGTAAAGCACATCAGAAGTTGCAAGACAAATGAATAGTGTTTTCTCAGTCTCAGTTACAACACACAACAGCTAATCTTGCTAGCAAAGTGTTTACTTATTCAGATGCGCTCTTCTATCCAGAAGGTCTGTATATTAACAGATATATAAATATTAAGTAACTGTCAACTTTACTTAGTAATATGATTACCATTGTTACATTCTTTTTAAATGTGGCTGCCTAACCTTCAGCCAAGAGTGCACGAACAGACACTACCATGAAAAAATTACACCAGATTCTGATGTAAAGCCAAGAATTTATAAAATAAAGCACACACTTGTTTTTTGGCTGAATATAAATCAAACAACTGGAATACTCCCAACTACATACAAGAAAGCATTTTACTGGGCCTTCTCCAGGGAGTCTGCTTTAGGATATCCTCCAATATATTCACATCAAGTTCTACTGTGCTTCTAGAAGGCAAATTACTTTTTGCCTCCAAAAAGTTAATGATTTAGCAAGAGAATCATGAGAACTAAATGTCGTTCAATGAATACAGCTGAGCTTTGAAAATGTTTTGCTATTCACTGGTCATAAGCCACGCCACAAACCTTCTCATTTTGCTACATACCATATTTGTCAAGCCTACAGTAATATCTCATTTCAGCATTTATAGTAACAACTGTAATTGAGTGCATTATTCACTGTTGCAGTCAATACTCTTTCTTAGGAAAGAAAAAAAGGCATTCATTCCTAAATGCAAACCTGATGAAATAACTTTAAATAGTTCAGTATGTCAACGGAGAATTCACTGTTCCTTTCATTGGTGTCATTGATTCTGCTTATTCCTTGAATGCTTCTATTCATTTGGGGGGAGAGAGAGAGAGACCACTTTTGAGTTCATTCTTTTGTTGGAAATCTGAATCCTGAACTGAAGATTAAAATGTCTCCATTCTCTGCTAAACACTATGACAGAAGAATGTCACAGGGAAAGCTACAGCTACTAACTAGGAAACTACAGCATAAAGTACAACACAGGTACACAAATTTTTAGAAAGTTGGTTCTTTGACCACTTAGACCAGAAAAAAGAAAGAAAAAAAATTTCCATTTATCACAGCACTAATTAAACATTCTCTTACAGATATATAAAACAAAGTCAGTCAACAGTTAAAATGGAAATGCCAAAGTACTTATGATCCACGAGGTTCAAAACTAAATGCAAGACCAATCTTTTCCAATATGGCTTTTCCTACAAAAACCTCACAGCCCAAAATCATTACACAGCCATTAGTAGGGAAAAGGAGACTGAAAGCCAAGGACAAAAACAGAGTGTCCTGATGAAGCACTGAATATCATTAAGTCATCCAAAGATAAAAATCAACACATTTCCTAGAGATCCTGAAAGGCTGCACCACTGCTCAACATTCTCAAAGACTATTTCCATTCTTTGCTATAAACAGCTGTTTCAAAGGCTTGAAATAAAACTAGTTTCATGTTGGACAACTCCATTGTTTTCCTGTGCTGGTTTGGATTTTTATTTGAGGATTTTTTTGCAATACAGAGAATAAAGGATTGGAGGAATAAGACTTAAAGGAGGAGAGAAAAAAAAATAGGAAAGCTTAAAAACTAGAATCAGCAACCTGAGAAGTTACTGGAAAAAGGAAAATAAATGCAATTGTAAATAAAACTCTGCTTCAAAACCTATGCAGAGTACTAGATACACTTACACTGCTCTATGCTATTTGAATAGTTCACAGTGTTATACAATACTTTAGATACACACATAGTTTTAAACACTTCCCAAAACACATTAAATCTATTTCCCTTTTTTTAATACAAGTACAGTTTCCAATGCATACAACATTCTTTTACTCTGAATATCTTTTTAAAAGAATAATCTTGCTTACTTAGCTTTAAAACATCAGTTCTGTGAACTCTCTTCCAACTTGACTTACCTACCTCACAGAGAAGCTATGAGGATGAAATGCTTGGACTGTGCTTTGAAGCAGTAAGTAGTCAGTATTGCAACTCAGTGTTTTGGCAGCAAAGCACCCTTACATTCCTCATATCCACATCTCTCCCGCATGCTCTAATAATCACCTTTCTTCCCTTTCCTGCTTTCTGTGCGTTCTGGCTGCTGCAAGACCCCATGAGACCTCGAAGACCTCGTTTCCACAACTCTACCACAATGTTTGCACAGATAAGACCGGGTACCAAAAGAGCAGCACTGAAGTGGCAGCTTTTGCAATCCCTAACACTGATGAATGGCAGGCACAGACAACTGAGCTCACACAGCACAAGCTCTCTCAATCACACGGCATGGAAAATTCAAGCACGGTTAGCAATTCTGTCACACAAAACCCCAGTCATTTTCCCTAAGGGAAAAACTACCACCCAAAAAGGGATTTTAAGTGACCTACATGAAGCTGATCGCCTTCCAAATCAGAGGGAGAAAAGGCAGACTTCACAGCTACGCTTGGGCATAACCCTGTAGTACATTCCTGTTTTATGGCAATAGTATGGCACTCAACTGAAATATCACATACTTCAGCAAAATGGTGATCAATGTCTCAGTTTCCTGGATCATGAGAATCTGAGAGATGAACCCCTTAAAACAGGCCCTTGTGTGGTGCTTTACATTGCCCCTCTCAAGTATACCATCTCTCAAGGGTCCTCAAAAACTTTTATGAACATCAGTAAACACATACTCTTGACCCGACTTCAGAAGTGTAGCCTCAAAAGGAGTGCTTATTTTCCATCACTTCTCAAACACTTAAATGAAAACTGAGGTCATCCAAATACTCGTACTATGGAGAAAGTTGTCCGTTTCTTTACCTGTTTTCAGAACAGCTACTTAATCTCAAGGCAATTGTCCTATAAGTGGATAAACTTTGTGTCCAAAATAAAATTGAGTTTAAATTCTCAAGGGATGAACAAGCAAAAATAAAACTCAGAGTAAAGCCTGCTCCGTCTTCATGGAATAACCTGCCATAATATGCCCACTTCTTCAGTAACAGGTTACTAAATTACTTCTACATGAAAAATGCTTCGTGCTTGATCATGAGTCCGGTTCGTATTACATACTGCTGTAGACTTTTACCATTTTATGGAGGACAAGACCTCGTAGCACTAGTCATTCTCTGCTACCCTGCATTCCCAAGCCAGGCAAAATGTAAGCATAAACCAAATGTGCTCTGTCTTCTCAGCAACACCTACTGCAAGGTGCAGCTAATAAAGCACACTGACTAAAAGGTATGTGATTTGCGTTATGAACTTCATATGGAGCTCTGTAAATCCATAAAAGAACATGTTTACAAGGGACTGAAGAACAGAGGAAAGCAGTGAAAGCAGCCTCCTCCTTTACATTAAGCACCTTTCCCTTAGCCTATCCCAGCCCTTCTCCCAGAAAGGGAGATTAGCAGAACCTCTCCTACCACTTCCTGAACTTACTCTGAACTGCCCTTTGATTTTGTCCTCAGTCCAACAAATGTACCCACAGGTACTGCCTGCACCTGCACAAATCCTTCCCTAGGAAAAACAGCAATAAATAATTAGGAGGTTTACAGGGTCTCAGCACATACCTCTGTGGTGGAAGATAGCCACAACGTAAAAATAGCAAGCAGTCCCAGAGTACCAGCCTCAAATCCTGCTTGGTTCTCAAAAGAGCCTTTAACACAGATTTTAATGCTTATTCTAACTCAGGCTACATCCTTTTAGCTACCAGTTGCCAAAGGTTTACTTGGAGCTATTCTGTTTTCACCTTATAATGCAATTGAGCCCCTAGTAAGGGCAGTCTGATGATAATACTTCTAGCACAGGCAAGTCCCATGTCTGCAGCTTGTGTATTAAGACAGAACAAAAACTCAACTTGCAGGTTAAACTGCTTTCACTTCAGTGAGCGGGCTGTTGTTTGTCTTTCTTACATGTAAAAATAATTACATATTTAATAATTATTAAAATAATTATTTTATAGTTATATTGCCATCAGCAGGACTTCGTATTTTTCAAGAAAACCTAGATGCCAGCTAGTCTAATTTAGTTTTTAATCACAGCAGCAAAGTCTTACTTCTCTGAAACAAAGTGCACACTACAGCACATCCTCTCATTCTTTAAACAAAAAGAATAAAATGGTGATCTTCTATTTGCCACACTGTGGAAAAATGTGAAAACAAGACAATTATCCAATTCACTGCAGACAGAGTTCAGAATAGCACTCTAGGGCCAGTGCTCTAATTTTTAATATATATATATATACACACATACATATATACATACACATACATATACATTATACATATGCACACATATATATACAAAAAAAATTATGAGCTGGTCATTTACACTTCCTCCTCCCCAAGGTAATTTATCATCAACAGTTAATAAATAGCTAGCAGTCAAAACAGTGGGAATCTTATTACATCAGTTTAGTGCACCAAGAAAGGTTATTTTTGATCTTGCTCATGTGCAACTAATTCCAAAAGTAGGTATGATGGTCACTAGTTTCACTTTTTTTTTTTTTTAAACAAACTACTTTAAAGGCCAGCTATAGCTATCTGTTTCCCAAAGGATATAGTAGCTTGAGTCTCCATGATTATGGTAATAGGTTATCCAAAGAACAATTATAAGAGACATACAAGCCAAAGGTGATATTTCAAAACTGTATGCTCTTTTATAAATTAACTATGGTTTTAGGATAATTCAAACATTTGTTTCCTGTTATTTTCACTAAAGTACACTATCAACCCCAAAAATGGCCTGTATTACTCTTACAAAGTAAAATATGCAACCACAAGAGTCAATTTTGGACACAGTCAAACTGGAGTTTTAGTTAAGCCCAAATTAAACAGCTGCAACTCTTACTTTTCATCATATTAAGATCTATTAGGGAAATCATAATATAAGATTAAATGAGGCATGTATTTACCACTGACTTCAAAAAACAAAAAAAGTGTTCAAGAGAGCTGCCAATTTATTTTGATTAAAAATTAAACATAGATACAGATTAAATTTAAGTAAGAGCAGTCTTCTGCCTAGTGAAGGAACTAAATCCTCGCTTTGCTACATTCACTTCAGTCTCTCTGTATTGAAAAATGTAGGTTTTAACATCAAAAACAATAGAGAAGACATATTTGCTACTACACACTACAGCAACTTTCAAAGGCAAAGACTATAAAGAGATACAGTGAAAAACAAAAAATAAAAAGGAAAACTATCCAATATTTTGTTGCTGGATGTACCACAGTAAGATCATTACTGCCTGCAGTCTGAAGGACGGTGTGCCTGCACAGGTACTTTCCATTGTGACTAGCAGGTATGGGGTGCAATAGCCAAAGAATTGCAGCCCTCCCTTTACCATGGAATTATGGCTACCGGCAGAGGCACCCAGCAAGCTGGAGGGAGGAGCAGAAGGTTGCTTCATCGTTTTCAATTAAGGGACTATATGCAAAACTGCTCTGTTCTTCCAGGTAGTTGGTGTTATTCATGCCACAACCGCAAAAGATGAAAGCATAAAATGATGCTTTATAATCCCTGCTAAAAACCGGCAAATAAGACAGTGACAGCTCCTTCAAAGGGAAAGAAGCCTTGTGGTTTCGTTTTACACCAGCAGGGAGCAGTGGTTAACAAAAACAGTAAGATGCTTTTTGCTTCCCAATGTTATCTCCTGTTAGTAAATAAAGGATATTCAAAATGGTTACATTAACACATTTAAAGACAGTTTGGTGTGCTTCTTACATGCATCTGCTAAAAAGAGGTCTGGATACTAGGTTAAGAATTCCTGGGGGCGTGTTTTTAAAAGGCTAACTCTGGCTCTACTGCTTTCACTGTGAAAGCTATCCAGTGCTAGGCAGAGGCTCCCAAAGTTAATAATTGAGTTGATTTATAAGCATGAATACAAAGGAGCCAAATTAATTCAAAATGTTCAATCTCTTGTCCAACAAAACGGACAAAAGTATTCTTAATCATTTTAACACAGCAGAACTCCATTAATTCACAAGGATTGGGGAAGACTGCATATTTGGGGGATAGGAGAGAAAAGGGAAATTAACAACTAGCAAAGCAAATAAAATGAGCATAACATATTACAGAAATGCCTATTATTTACTCACTTCAGACTCCAATTTTGCATCATGTTTAAGAATCCGTATGTATGATAGTCTATTAACGTAATAATGATCATGTTTATATGAGAATTCACTAAAACCCCTATGGAGGAAAAAGAGTCACTCACCACGTTGTAATAGCTTTTGTTAATTGCAGACGTATCAAAGCCTTTAGGTGGGCTCTTCAATGTACCTGATTTGGGGGAGACCGGTTTTTCTGAAATGTAAAATATTTTTGTGTCAATGGGGTGCAATTTTATAGCTCAACACTAGAGGTCAAACAAACTGCTTTAAAATATTTATCAGACAATACAGAGAAAATAGCACATCACTGAGAAACATGCATACTTGTGCTTGAAATTATTGGTAAAGAATCAAAATGGTTCGTATGTTCACAATGAAAGAAACTCTAGCCTCAATGAAGGCAAGTAGAAAAATTCCAATTCTTTTTTCCTGGAACCAGAAAGTCAGTTAATAAAATTAGCTTTTCCAAAATTATGTTTTAAAACAAAACGTTTTTACAGACTGCAATAAAAAAAAACCAAAACACAGGCAATTCAAAACACTACATGCACTTTCAAACAAAGGTAGTATTAAGTTATTATATCAATTTAATTAACTCTGTAAAAGCAAGTGACCAAAGGCTGAACATACCAGAGGTGGGACATTACATTCAGTCTAGTTGAAATAGAGAATCAAAACACTATACAAGTAGCGAAGTGACTTACCAGATGCCTATCACAGAAAAAAACATCTTTTAAAACAAACAATCTTTTTTTTTGTTAATGAAGTAAAAATTAAAAATGCTTATGCACTTG